TCACCAGTAATCAGACTGCTTGTAGCCCAATTCAAATTTCTTTCCACTCGCATCAAATGATCTGTCGAAAAATGTGAATGCATTATTATGCACAAGCGAGAGATCAAATCTAACTATCAAATTTGGATTTTTGGAACTGCTCGAGTTCCTGTTAGAACTGAACAGATTTCTAGGAATTTCAGTCCTCCAGATTTTCGATTTTGAAACTCTGTCGTGAAGACATCGGCTGTCGTGTTGTCTCCCACTTGAGTGGCATGCTTAGCTGACACTTCGTGTTATTGTTTCACATGTTTTGGAAGCAAACATTGAATCGCTTCAGTGCTTTATTTTTCACTTGAGCTTACACGGATGACGCTTTTCAATTGGATTTCAGTTCAACTGGAGCATTCAGCATTTTGATAATAACTATTATTGTTCGTTGTTTATTTATGCCCAAGCTTTCTCTCATCATCATTATTATGCAATTCATTCATGGTTTCTAATATTGCGCTGTACGAAGACTAATGAAACATATTTTGACCCTGGATGAAAGGTTCCGTGCAGGCCTTTGAATCCGTGGTACTTCCTAGAGTCGGTTTCACAGAAGACTCAGAAAATTTATCATTCACATCCGACTGAAGGAAGTGGAGATTGTTTCCGACTGGTACGACGAATATGACTGCTGAAAGATCAACACTACTATCATGCATTCTCAAATTTAGAGCCAGTGAATTACGGTGCTAACGATGACTAGGAGTTGAAAATCCACTTCATAGAGCCGCCGTCTTGGAATGGCCTCATAAAGATGCTGAGAATGATGTTTCAGAGCTTAGACAGGCTTACTTATGCATTTTCTTTTCATTTAGTCTGGGAGTATTCATCGTTGTATTTGAGTGTATTTGAGTGAGTGTTGGACTTGCGATGCATATAATTTTACACGACATTTGAAATTCACTTGAACAATTTTTAATCAAAAACTTTCCCGGTTGCTTGATTTTCCTGAAAACAATCGAATTAAATTCCGCTCTTAACAAGTTCATAAAAATATACCGTAAACTACACGATGACTATTGGAGAACGGATGGATGCACCATGAGATTTCAGAAGACTTCATGCGTGATTTTAATCTCTAATTGGCCACCAGCAATTTGCTAAGCTCTCTGCTCTCTTTTCTCAATGCAATATTCCCATAATTTGAATATTATGAATGCTCAGCTATCAACGAAAAAGCATATTTGCTCGTGTTGTTGTTACTATTGCTGACTTAGAATGTGTTGAATTGATGATTAAATTCTTTCTTCCATTCGCTGCCGCACATATGTGGCGGTTGAGTGCCGTTAGCCTCACCAGAAACGATATAAACAGAATCGTGTATCCCATCGCGATCTCATAGCTATCACAGATGTCGTTTGTTAGTTGTGTTCCACAGAGTTCCTTAATAATAGTTATTATTTCTGCAAAATATTCAAGAAACTTCTTGCTAGTATATGAGATTTTCTTTAATTTGAGATAATTTTGATCAAATCTGCACAATCAACTGGTGAAACAGCGTAGTTGCGCTGTTTCGAGGAAATTTTCAGCGTTTCAATGTGTACCATCTGAATGATTTACACAAAATCAGTGAAATCGTCCTCATTTCACCAAAAAATCACTCACCGAAATATTCGGCGAATCAATAGGCGATCTGTGATTCGTGACAAAGTTCTTCATTCTATCGCAATGTCATAAAGTCTGACTGACCGGTGAAATAGTCAATTCTTTGTTAAATAAGTATAATGGCTCATTCAGTCATGCTAGTGTCATGTTTGGATACCTCCAGTGATTAACAATACTGTTTACATAAAGTGTTTCATCTGTCACTAGTCTTACATCTCTAAGATAATGGAAACGTCGCTCATTGAAATAAACTTGGTAACTTTGATATAAACACCTCATTTGAAGATAATTTTCCTAACTTTACTACTAGTATTCGGTGTACTATCATTTTACCCAATCCTGCTCGAAATGTAAATCATCACCAATTGCTTTAATGAGCTATAATATTAGTCACATAAACCTAGAGCCTTCACTAGAACATCATTTCCTCTGAAAAACTCATCAGTGAACAGTCAGTCTACTGTGATCGGTTTGATGCGTTTATGCAATGCTCTGAAATTGATATTTACTCATGTGAAATGAAGAAATTTCAAGGTATTGCCACTAGCCATTTGAGTACGGATCATAGAAGTGTTCGAATAATGAATGATGAATAAAAGCTGAATGCAATTGATCCGAACAAGCGATTTGATACTATGAAATGCGCCATTGTTGGTTGTTGAACAAACCGATGCTATGTATTATAATTGCAACAAAATTCACGAGTTTAATACGTGCGGACAACAGCAATGACTACGATGATTTTGATTCATCGTCTACAAATACACGTGCATCGGATGACGACTACGCCACCTATCAACAATTCATTGCTTCTCCCCCTGCTACAGATGTCTTTTCTCAAATGTTCATCAGTGGTATCATATTAATCGCTCCTATCACCAGTTGCCAAGAAATATTTCATTGTGATTTCAATTCTGTGGGCCCATTAAGATCCTACATCCCATTGAATCCTTTCCAGTTGTAATCGCTCGAGAGGCCAGATTGATCAGATGCAAATGGGATTGCATTGATCAGATGCGTATTTTTGGATAGATTACTAAAGAGACAGCTCACCGGATTCAGATTGCCTATCATTTCAAGAAATATGCTCTAAAAATGAACAGATGATTTTGTGGAGTAGATTTCTAGCGAGTGATATCCTTAAGAGAGAGAGATGACCTGAACATTGACCTGGTTGCTTCATTCCGATGTGATTATTTCGTTGATGTTTCAGATACAGCGCGGTGTTTTTCGTGTATGTCGAAATTGTACGAAGCCGTTTGGCCAGCGTTAGCCTCGATTTATAAACGTCCAAAAAACTTTACTGATCGTTGCAACGACGACGAAATTGATCCACGTTATGTGCCTATAACTCATTGCCCAACGATTTGCATACGAATGTGGGAAGAACCAATTGTAGCAGGTTAGTTCCTCGAAGAAAAATTTTGATTGATGCTCAGAGCTACAATTGATTGAAGCGGTAAACTCACCCATTTTGATCTATTGGGACAATGCGTGCGAAAATTATCTAGTAATATTAATGTAACATTTGGGATGCATATGGTCGTTTCTTTATCTCACAAGTGCTTTTGTAAATGAATGATACTCGAAATATGCGGTAGCTGAGTTGAAATCAGTTGAAGAATCCCTAATTCGTGAGAAATATTTTGATGATTGGAGATCTGAACAAATGATGCTTCAATTGGTGCAATTGCTTTGACTTTTAGTTGCTTGCAGAATTTAAGAATATTGACGAACATTGACATGTATAGTCACACCAGTTATAAATTGTGGAATGTTGATGAGAATTTAGGTGTTCGAATCAAAGGTCACATTCGTGGATGCCTTGATGATTTATTGTATAATGGTTTCAATCAAACGATTGTCACATGGTATAGGTGGATGCATCGTGACTCATGTCGTCAATACAGGTGATTTTCACTTCTCTNNNTTTCATGAAAACAAAATTGTGGTACAACTTTGCTTTTGACAATGAAACGAAAGCCGATCGCTTTTTATAACATTTTCTGCTCTATCGCACAAGAACTATTGCTCTCGAATGTCAATGACCAAGTTCTACGCAACCTGCTAACGAATACAGAAGTCTTTCCACTTCATTGTTCATCGTCAATGCGGGGAATTCGAATGTCTCCATTAGATTCATTAGAGCTATTTTATCCATTAAATAAATTACTGCTGAAGTTTCCATTTGACTTCACCGTAACGGATAAATTTTCATCCCGTATCTTTTTGCAAATTTTTACTGCAAATGGTTATTGAGACACAAAAGTTCACCTATTCACTGATAACCGTGATGAATCATAGATATGTGGGATTTAGACAGATAATGTTAATCTTGCTGGAACAATTCAATAGTCGTCTGGTATTATCACGCAATTGCTCGGCGAAATATTGTAGTATTAACTGAATGGAGACACTGATAATTCGTTTAGTGCAATCTATTTCATTCATTATCTATTTCATTATCTATCATTATCGAACTCATTATGATTGAGGTGGAAATTAATCTAGCTAACTCTTTCAGGAAGCGTGAATTATTTAAATTATCGCCTGAACAAAGCGATGAGAGCTATATAAACGTTTGCACTTGCTACGCAGACTATTGCAATGGCTCTGCATCAAGTAATGCCTCACGACTCTCACTTCCAATGTTTCTTCTTATTTACCTGTTCATTGTTCTGCCAGTCTTCAGGTTATGAGTTCGTTCGACTGAGTCCAATAAATTGATTGTAACATTGATGCTGAGCAGTGATTCTCCTCTGTGTTATCAATGATTTGTTATCAGAATATGAATATTGAACTGTTTGGCGTTCATGCTTACACATTGAATGTTGTTGTTTTGTTGCGGGTTGTATCATATTCCATCGCAAACCATCGCTCGATCTGTTATGACTCCGTTTATAGTGCTACTGAATCAGTACACATTTGGTAGTGAAGTGAGAATTATTTGTGATGATTCGTTTTCAGTTGCGTCCAATTTATCCGTTCATGAAAATTTCAGATCCATCTGCAATCATTCAGGTGATTTGGCATGAGACTAATCCGTTCAGCTTTTATTGAAAGAACAGAAAAAAACTCATAATATTTGATAATGCTATCCAAAACTGTCGTATCCCCTCGTTGATTGATATATTCTGTTGGCTCTTTCTTTTTTTTTNTTTTTTTTTCAAATGGAATATCAATTCGGTGCCTCCATGAAGCACATTAATGCGAAAGATGAATTCCAAATAAGGTAATTATTTTGCGAAGCTAAATTATCGAACGAAATCTTGAAGTCATTCCAATCGTTAGATTCGCGAATCTAATGAGTTAAATGGTTTACAATTAGATCAATGATTTAGTCATGATTGACTAAGGTATTATTGCGAATCTTAGCACGTTTTTTTGACATTTTCAAATAAGTTTTGAGTTGCTCTATTCTGTATCATTCAGTTATTGTGCTCATGGAACATCGAGACTCAGAAACATTTCACTGCCTCTCATTTGCATTTCCGACAGTTCTATTTGTTCGGTTCAATCATTGTAGTTGTCTTCTGACTCGAATGATCTTGCTTTGAACATATTCATTCAGCTTGCTCTGAATCGCTCTCCGTTTGGAACAGTATCGAAACACAAATCTAAGGTGCCAGAATGGAAGCCGAATGTTTGCTCCTGAATTTGCGGAACCAGAATGGAAAATTACTCCTTCATAAGCAAAGAATACCTCCAATGTCCAGAGGTCAGAGGTCATTGCTATGATTTTAGAAATCGCTCGACTGAGTTGGTCATTATTCTGATAGTTTCATTCAGGATCACCTTTATACTTCCGTAGATCAAACACTTGCTCATTACGGCTCATTCGCAGTGCAAAATCATGAATAATGGAATGAAAAAACTGCAAGTCAGTGACAGTGTACAGTAGNCATAGTTTGTGGTATCCAAAGTGATTGTTTCCGGAAAGAAAATCTAGAGAAATGCTCGATATCGAGATATTTTTGGTTCAGCATTCGATTGCTCAAAATCGATGCACGTCTCGCGAATATATTCATTTCAAACCGAGTTGTTAGAATCCCGTGCGACTTCTTGACACTGTGCTATTCCATGACATAATAAATGTTGTAATCTTTTCAGTTCTAACTGTTTTTTGATATGTCACAAATATGCATAATTGGTTCTGATCGAATAGCAATAATCAAAATCAGATGATGTAAATGAGCATTTGCTGCTGTAATCATTATTTTTAAAACTGCTCCTCTTGAACAGTATTCGTTGCCCTCCCTACCTCTACGAAAGCTTCTCAAATGAATAGCACATGAAAACATTCCACAATTCAGCTAATTTATTGCTTGTCACTGCTCTGAATTTGTATACATTCATCAACGGTGCTTGATCAAAACGATCCTGTTCCTGGTATAAGCTTGAAGTCTCGAAAGCTAGGCTTCATCAATCGAGTTTATCCAAGTTCTTTTGGAATCGACCTCTCTCAATCGGCTCCGAGTCTCGAAACTGGAATCATTTAAATCAGTTTACACGAACGAGAATACGTAAAAATAGCAAACGGCGAAGGATTCTCGCTATCAGAATAAGATAGTCCAAGAATTGTGAATGAGTGAATGGGTTTTCCATTGGCGAGCGGAAAAATTTAGGTGCAGGATTAATTCAGCTGATCCCTACGCAAGGAACACTGCAGAAATAATTAGTTTTAATTTCGGTTATTGTCATCATTCTTATCAGTCTTATTATTATTATTTAAATTGTGATATTATCGCTGTTCATGTTGTTATTTTGTCAGCATTGATATAATTATCATTAGTATTGCTGTATCTACTGACATTATTTTTATTATCAACATTACTATTATTATTATTATTGTGATTATTATTTCTATTTGACTGCTGTTATATTGTCATTAACATCTCATCACTAAGATATTTTCATTGTTAAGAGAGTCATCGTTCATGGATGTTTTTACAGAGATATGTCTCAACGTTTCGGCTTCGCATTTCGTTTCCATAGGAGTAGTGCCCTTTGTCCCTTTAGCAAAGTACTGTTTGTACCGGAGTAATCAAAGAACTGCACCAAAATGAATATGATACAATAGGGTGCGCATTAATTTTCAAAAAATCGCCTACAGGACAGTGTTGCACCGGTTTCACAAAATACAGAAGAGCGCGTGAAAGTCAGTACAAAAATACAAAAGTTTCTAGAAATGCAAAGAAATTTGTTGCATGAAACGTTTGATTTGCGTTTCAAATTTTCAAATAAATTTGCGAATACATTCAAATTGCGTCAATTCCCAAAAACTTATTGCTGCTATCATTTTTGTGATGAATTTTCATGGGCGAAATTTCTAATAGAGCGTGAAATACGCGAAATATTTCGAGGCGAAATGCTTGGAAGATGACGAAATGTGTTCCGAGTGATTGTAGA